ATTTCTATCAAAATCTGTCGTCATGTCTCCTGATGATTGATACAGATAAATTATGAAGTGTTATTTAAAGAGTTTATCCCGAGTGATCCCTTTTCAGGAAAAACAACTTCAAGATGCAAACAAAGAGATCTTATCTTGAACAGTTCATCTGAACAGATTCTGTGTTCTGGGGACATTACGCAGCACATTTGCTGCGTAATGTCTGCATGAAAATACAGCACATTTATTCATACTCACAACAGGATGTCACTGAAGCCATTAATGAATAAAGTTCTCATTTTTGGAGGGTTCCTATGAAAATGTGTCATCTGAAGTACAGAAGGAAAAAAAACTATTAATTAGCATTTTCTCCTCATCTATGTAAATTCAATTAGTCTTACCGATTTGTAGAGAAATCTCACAGCTGCAAGGACGATTACTGCTTGACAATAATAATCAGTGATGGTAAAAGGTGGCTGTGTATAAAACAGAAGATTTGGTCAGTAATAGGTATACTTTAATCAGCGTCCCAAACCCCTGTGTTACCTGTTTATCTTTAGTGGACAAAGCCACTGAGGTGAAAATGGCCAAGTACGTGACATAGGACAAGAAGTTCATCAAGAACAGCTTCCAAGCAAATTTTGTCCACTTATGTTGAAGGAGACTCTTTAGAGGTTCAATCTGCAGCATCTCAGGGCGATTCTGAAAAACATTTCAGATCTCTAATGTTGGTCTTTCGAGAGCTGCTTTGGTCCATGGTGTAGTACAATAGACAAACCGGGTTATCGCTTTCAAAGATGATCATCTCCAGCACAGACTTGTTTTGATCCGTGTCAATGGAACTGATGTCATATAGTGACGACCCAACAGGTCCATAGATCCATCGAGTAAACTTCCTGGAAAGGACCCTTGTCTCTTTGTCCATGACTTCCCGACTCAACATGTGCCTCAACAACTAGACGGAATTGAATCTTAGAAGTTGAGGATTTTTGTCTTTTAAAAAGTATATAATGGAAAAACCTTACCCCAATTTTACCAAGTTTGGCTGCCAATTTCAGTGGCGTCAGACCTTCATTGTTCTCAAATGATTCCAAGTTGACTTTGTTGCTCTTGTAGTACTGAAGAAGGATTTGGTCATACATATTTGCAACCATTTCTACGTTCTCTGTTGTGTCATCTGCTATCACCACCAGAGCGTGCAACACGGTGTTCCCTTGTGAGTCTTTGTCAGTAGGATCAGCTTTCCTGTGATTGTTGTCCATGAGAAATGAAACCATTTTGGGCTGATTGGTGCAGGCAGCCAGGGACAGAGGCAGCTCACCTGTCAATACAAAACAGTGAGGTAAAACCGAAGATATGGTTTTGGCCAGTTTGCACAAAACGTAAGCTGCATTCACACCAAAGGCATTGGGGGTGTTAAATTGTAAACGTAGTAATCTGGATGTTGGACGCTCTGGGAGTTTATCTGCTCTTTAGCTTCAAGCAAGAGAGCGGCTTGGCTTTATTTACTTTTTAGTTTTAACACGTTTTTCAGCGAGCAAGTCCACCTACAGACATCATCTGTGCAGTCAATTCATAAGGATTATGATCTGATGAACTACATGTATCATCTGGCAGAGCGATGAACCTCCAGCACAAATAGGTGGCAGTGCTGGAAGTCCAGAACGCTCTGCTGTGGGGGATTCCCGCCTATTTGGTTAGCAGCTGGAAGTGAAGATAGGCGCGCCACCTGGGGGGCAAAGTTAGGACGATTCTAAGAGCCCTTGACTGAGGGGGGGCCCAAAAAAGAAAAGATCCCATTAAAGGAATAGTACACCCAAAACATGATTAGCCTTCATTTTCTACTCACCCCCATGCTGAACAACACTCTGGAGTACTTTGATATCTCAAATGCATCTGGAGATCTGGGAGGCTTCTTGCTGTCTGCTGACATTCAAACAATGGAGGTCTATGGCGCCCGAGACAGAAAGGTCCATAAAAGTCCACAAAAAACGTGTCAATATTCCTCCATACTGCTCGTCCAATGTATTCCAAGTGTCCCGAGTGGGTAGCGTCCATAATTTACTCGAAACGAAGTCATTTAGAACGTTTTTAGAGCATAAACAGTAGTGTATAGGATTTCCTGAAAGCGCGCGCCTGCGAGTTCACGACGCTACGGAAACCGCGGCAGACCAAACCAGATGAAAGTGAGCATTCAGCTCAGCAAAGAACTCATGCTCTTCCTCAACACTGAAGTCCTCAGACATTTTTCTTTCGTTCTTTCTTTGCACAGGTAAACAGCACATTTCTTCTTCTACGCTTGCATTATCGGCAGAGCAGACGCTGAATGCGCACTCTCATCTGGTTTGGTCTGCCTGCTTCCATAGCGTCGTGATCGCGTAGGCGCGCGCTTTCAGGAAATCCTATACACTACTGTTTATGCTCTAAAAACATTCTAAATGACTTCGTTTCGAGTAAATTCTGGATGCTACCCACTCAGGACACTTGGAATACATTGGACGAGCAGTATGGAGGAATATTGACACGTTTTTTGTGGACTTTTATGGACCTGTCTCGGGCACCATAAACCTCCATTATTTGAATGTCAGCAGACAGCAAGAAGCCTCCCAGATCTCCAGATGCATTTGAGATATCAAAAAAGTACTCCAGGGTGTTGTTCAGCATGGGGGTGAGTAGAAAATGAAGGCTAATCATGTTTTGGGTGTACTATTCCTTTAAGTAAAATAAGATAGTTATTCTTCCTTAATGTCTGAGGGAAATCACATCATTAATGATGCTGCTCAGCCGGGTGCTGTCTGAAACAGAATGATTGGAATTTTTTATTATTTTGTTGATTTGTTTTTAATTTTAAAGAGAAAAAAAAAAAAACAGGATTAATCCAGCATTTATTGAGCTTATTGTGTCTGCAAATAAAAAGGCCAAACAACTAAGCCAGAAATCTCAGAGCTGAGAATTTACCTTTAGCAACCAGACCAGGCAACAGGAAAACAACATGGTTATTAGAGGTTTAACATCAGCTAAACGCTAGTAGATGTTTAATATGACATTTACATTAAATTAAATCTGTCAATATTAAAACAATTAAGTTAGATCTTTATATTCAGATTAATTAATACACATATCTAAATCTTGATAATTTTCATGACCAGCCTGAAGCTGCCACATAAAAAACAAAAACAAAAAAAATAAACCATGTCATTACAGGCACAGATTAATGAAAAATAAGTTCTCAGGGCCAGAAAAAAAAAATCTGTTCTTCAATAAAGTTATAGTAAAACCTATATGTTTTGTTTTAAATAAGCTGTTATCATTATGGGATGTAAATGTAGAGTTTAAAGTTAATGTATATTTAACTTTTTCACATTCTGATCATTTTCCTTTGTAGAAATATAACAATTATATTGAAAATGTGAATGATACTCTTCAGTGCATCTTTATAGCAGCATGTGTACATTTTTCTTATTTGGGGGGAGCTGAGGGCCCAATATCAATGTCTTTCATGGGCGCCAAATTCCTGACAGCCCCCCTGAATGAAGACAAAGGGTTTTTAAGGTTTGTAGTAATAAAATGCAAGTATAAGAACATAGAATCATATTTTTTCATCGGCAGGTTTTAACATTTTTAGCTAATTTGGGCATTTATAAAATGTTTCATCATAGTTCATAAAAATGTTTTAGTGCAGCAATAATGATCAGAGCTCACTCGCTTTTTCTTTTAACAATCCACTCTTACAGCTTTTTTTAAACCATGGAATTTTGTATTTTCAAATGCAGAATTTCTGCAGAAGTGATGACAGCTTGCAGGTACTGTAGTGTCTATCGAACCCTCCCAAAAAAGGGGATCAACCTTTCGATTGGTTTCGTCCAGCAGCAAAAGTTCAATTTACTGAACTCCAGTGACACAACTGAACGCTCTAAATGTGCTCAACGCTTCCCCCATAGACTTTGCCTGTAAACCAGACACTTGATGCCACATTTACAACTAATGCGCTTTGGACAGCAAAAGAAGCTGCTTTAGATGTAAAGTCTATGGTTGAAGCGCATCAAAATGTCCAGTGACAGCATTGTTATGTGGGGGTCTGCAGAAAAATTATATTTAAGGCAGGATCACAATTTTAAATGTTTTGAGGTCGACTTTCTCGCATCAACATATATTAAAAGTTTTTGCTCTACTTATCACAGCAAATATAGCAAAGCCGCTCTCTGCCATTGACCAGAGGAGCAGCAGAAGCATCAGACGTGTCATACACTCTACTGGATGTGCTTCAGGAACATCAAAATGCTCTTGAGGAACATCTGACCTTTAAGTGCCCTGCTGAAAAATAAATGTGCTAAGTGTACTAAAATTTTGCATACTTTTGTGTACTTGAAGGCACACTAATCATTACTATACTTTAAGTGTGTTTATGATTAGTTAACTTGAAGGATGCTATTTTGGAACAACTAATTTTGTACTAAATATATTTTAATTGTAATTAAATTGTGGACAAGCTCAACTTGAAGTGTATTTAGTGTACTTTGATGTGCTAAAGTGGAACAACTTAAAGTATATTTTGTATACTTTAAGTATATGAGTTTATATGTACTAATATATGCTTAATTAGTCAAATTAAAGTGCACTATGGTTGTATTATAACTACATTAAAAATGATTTGTTAGTGTCTTAAAAATATATAAGCTTTATACTTTTAATATACTCTTACTGTGGTAATAATATGCTTAATTATACTGTTGGCTTATTCCAATTACTAAAAAAGCATACTTTGCAGTTAATAGTAAATATACTTTATCATTACATTGCTATACTACTTTCTACCTTGCACATTCTTGCAAATGTATTAACAGTATACTAAATGCTGAAAGACTTGTGGATATACTTCCGTGCAGATGAAAAAATATACTTTAATGTATTTGAAACATGTCCAAATTATAGTACATTACAAATAATATAACTTGTACTATCTCAGAATGTATAAACATTTACATATCGACGTTAACCATTTTCATTATAAAACTTACAACACATTTTCAAATATTGGTACTTTAGTACACTTTGTAGAAATATGTCAATTTCAGGCAGCAGACCTAAACATTACAAATAAACTTTAAAGAACGCAGAGGAATACTGAACAATGAAAAACAACATTCCTTATTATTGCACCCCTAAACCCTCCCACCATACAAAAACACGCCCACCACACATTATTTTCCTTTTTTTGGCTGAACTGCTCATTGTTACATTTTCGTCTGATGGCCGTGCGCACATCAGAGACACTTGTCTACGGAAACTCCAGAAGAACAGCGTCTGTTAACCAAACAGAGAGATACTGTAAATTCATAGTATTTTTGAGCAGTACATCAGAAAAGTCTGACAAATTGTATCAGTATGATATACCAGGGTCCATAAGTGCACCAGAAAAAAAAATTGTCCATTTCAGTTGAATTTAAATAAATCTGATGCATCAAGTGGTTTTATCAGATCTGATCAAAAAAATTAAACAAAGTAACAACAAAAATTGTCAGAGATCTCAGAAAAGAAAAAAATTATGAATCCGCAGAAAGAAAGGGAAGAAAAATCCTTAAGTTTCCTTGTTTTTCCTACCACCCTCCAGGGAACCGGATGGCATTCACATTGGGAACATTCTGCATCAACATCTCTGGTGGAGTCTAGTCCAGTCCATACAATGAACTGCTCAGCTGTAACAGCAGATTCTGCAACTATGTAAAAAAAAAAACAGCCTGCACACAAATGTGCAGAGCAATTACTTCAATTGGAAAATAAATCATGTAATCACCATAATATAAATTGGTTTTTACCACATTTATACAGACAAAAATATAAAGTAAAATTATCAATTTACATGTGGTTCACTGTCTAAGAAATCATTATGGTCAGTAGTCAATACTTGTATCTGGAAAAAACAATCCAGGACACCTATGAAGGGTTAATTTTACGTTAACCCCTTGTGGGGGTTTTACAGCAACATCACACAAGATGTAGCTAGCTTGAAAGTGCATTTTCTTTTTTAGAAGAGCACATGGGGGGTGTGTTAGCCTCCTTCTCACTGTGCTAATGCATTCAATAAATCAAAAGAGCTAGTAAAATTACATATATTACAAAACATTATATCCTGACTGGTTTTACATCTCAAAAAATATATATATTTCATTCACAGGTTCATGTGAACTCACCAGGATATTCTTCAACACAATAATACAGCAAATCTTCCTGCTCAACCGATTACATCTCCTGTTTCTACAATACAAATATAATAATCAAAATCGCGTTTTATACAGATATCTTAAGATTTCAAAACCAAATGGGAATGTTTTGAAAGTTACCTCTCTCCATGCAGACCAAGGCCTTAAAAGAAAAGCACGCTAGCTCTGAGCAGGGAGGAGCCGTGACTAACTGCTGTGCAGGTGTGGTGCATTCAAAGTCTATGGGAATTCTGATATCAGTACTGAACCAAAAACTCCCCAAGACTAAAATTCTTGGGGAGCTACTACTTTACAGACATCAAGGCCAAACAACCTCCACATATCACTCCTATATGCATGAAGTGCTGTCAGCGACTTTTAAATATGTGCACTCACCAATTGGTCTTGTTTGCAGTAGCCCTGCTTTGATCCATTAAACAATACTAATGAAATGTTCTTTTTTGAACACTTGAGACAATTGTAATGTGTTAAGTTTATTTCTTTTGCATTTGGCCAGTATTAACTTTTCTGTTGCAATGTGGGTTATGCTATTTGTTAGATCATAATGTAGCACTGCACCAGCTTTAAACCACTTGCTTTTCAGCAGAACACACATTTTTGTGCACCTGTACTTTTGAAGTGAACATTTAGTGTTTTGTTCAATGTGGTTTTGTGTGTAAGATGTATTGTATCATATTTCTTTTTCAAAACTTATTAAACATTACATAACAACTGCAATAATTGCTATCTGTGTACTTTACACACAGCACAAAATTGCATAATAGGGTTTAAGTGCATTTTTGTAGTTATACTATTGAACACTTTCCAAAAGAATTACCTGAAGTACAAGCGTATATAACTTCACTTCATAATTAGATTCAAATGTAACTTAAAATGCACTCAAACTTAATATTACAGTGTCGATATTAAAATGTGTACTTTTAAAATATGCTTTCAATGTACGTTACAATGACAACTTTGAGCATACAATTTAAAATATAGCAAAAATATATGTAAAAACAAATTTAAAATAAGTACACTTTAGAAATTACACATAACTTTCACTTAAAGTATACTTTTTTAATAATATATTTCTATAAAGTGTAACATAGTGTAATTATGTTAAAGTGTGTTAAAAGTATTAGCATGAAAGCGTAATGTTAGTATACTTTTTATATATTTACAAAAAGTACAATTTGTCTAAGTACATTTTCAGTAAACTATAGGAAATATGAATATACTTGAAATACAATAAAGCACATTTTTTTTTTACCAGGGTGTAGAAACATCAAAAAAGAAGCAGAAGCTTTTTAGCTAATGAAATCACATGCGGTGTGAACGCTGCAAGAAAGTGAGTAGTAAAGACCAATCCCAAATGTGTGGTACTATAAACAGAACAGCCACAGTTGGTGTTTCTGATTAATTATTTTACTTCTTTTTAAGCACTAGTGGCCTTTATTTTGTCATTTTTCAGAGTATTCAGTCAGGGAAAGTTTTAAAAGAGAGGTGCAAGGGTCTGCAGGGCCCTTGCACTTTGCACCTTGTATATCATTTTATCAGAACTGCTTATATCCTTTTAGTTTTCCAACTGTCAGTAGGTAATATTTTCTACAATAGGTTTAATAGGTTATTAAAGGTACACAACGGGGCCTACGTCATATGAAATGCCACAATCTGCAAGGTAAAAGTCATGGGCGTTTACCAGTCAGCTAAAGGGACTCTGGTTGTATCCCACCATATCCTACAGCTTTTACCTGGGTTGACTTCTCTAAATTGCCCTAAGTCAAGAGAGGGAATGTTTGGCCTTTGAATGACAAAGATAATCTGAAACTCATTCACTGACATTGTCTCAAAACTTAGAGGGTTAGGTAATACTCCCTCTACATATAACAGGAGAAAGAATATATATATATATATATATATATATATATATATATATATATATATATATATATATATATATATATATATGATGAAAACCTCAGGAAGTTACTTACCAAAATAAAAGCCACATTTTTCACCCCATTGGAAGAATGTCCCATTGGCTTTGGCTTGCAGATCCGCACCCATCGTGACCAAAAGTTGAACATAAGTCAGATGTCTCCGTTCAATAGCAACGTGTAATGCAGTTTGACCTGAGCAAATGGTATTCAGAAACATTTCAAGTAAATTCAGCCGAAATTAATTAGAATCAAACCAAAGCCTGAAAACTAAGTCTTCTAGGTTTAAGGAAATCCTTTAGCCTGACGTAGTCCGACTCAATCGGTCTGTGACAGTGTACGTCACTTCCGCAAAAGCGCAATTCATTTAGGGTAGTTAGCGCCATTTCTGTGGGGAAGAGACAGCAGCAACAAACAAAAGAAAACTAACAGAGAGCAGACGTGTTCTAGTTGCTTCTTTGGAAATAATGGGACACTGGTGCTGCGTCCAAGGATGCAATAGTAATTCTAAACAGAAAACAGCAGATGGGGCCGTACGGTTTTTCGTATTTCCCACTTGGAAAAAAAATACGGACCGCAGACAGAGGACTTAACAAATAGGTGTCGGGCTCCGTGGGTCGCTGCTGTAAGAAGGAAAGACATCACGTTTCATAAAATATCTCCTCATGCTCGTGTTTGCTCTCGGCATTTTCACAAAGGTAAGTCCTTATAAATATACACTAATAGAAATCAACACGCTGAAATGGTTTGCTTATAAAGTTGCAGGAGTTCATGTAAACCTACTGAAACATGCTGTGGAAGAGAAGCGGAAAGTGATGTTTGTTTTATTTCTTTTTTAGACCGCTAAAATTTAATAAATAATGCATTATCTGTATATAATCATTTACACAATCTGCAATACAAATATATTTTTTTTATGAATAAATATATAGTATTAGTGTGTCAGTGTACATATAAAAACACTGTACATACCCACTCGTCAGCCAACTCACTGCATTTATTCATCCTGTGCAATCTACTTAAGTTTATTTATTATAATCCTTTGTTCGTCCTGTAAGCTTTTCAGTTTATTTATTTACCTCTGGCCTTACTAGTCCGATGTACTTGTGCTGTTTCAAATAGCAAATTTCCCCACTGTGGGAAACATAAGCATATCTTATATTCTATAACTCATCTAATCTAATGGGCTCTGTTATTAAGGTGCTTTATATAGTGTTTTGAATAGATGTGTAAAACACTCAACCTTTCATCTACTTTGCAGGTCAACCCGCATATGAGATGATGGAAACTGACCCAGACTGGGCTCCATCCCTGCATCTGGGCCACACTGACATCAAACCAACAGACACAGACCGCTCTTTAAGACGTGGTTATCGGGAACAGCTGAAAAAGAATGCCCTGCAAGCAACTGAAACGGGGCTCCATCGGGCTGATGAAATCCTTGAGCGACAGGATGAAGTAACACATGAGGCGACAGAGAACCCTAACCAGCAACAGACTGACACGCAGAAGGCTGCTGAAAACGTTGGCCGGCCAGACACCAAGGATGACACAGAAGGTGGTCGTCAGGAAGGACAGACAGAATGTAACCTGTGTGTGCTCAGGTGTGCAGAGATGAACCGTCTTTTGGAAGAAAACAGAGAGCTGCGGCGTGAACTTGATGAGCTGCGGATCTCTGATGGCTTCTTTGGAGACAGTAATGAAAAAGTCAAGTACTATACGGGTCTACCAAACTTGGCAACCTTTATGGCTTTGTTTAATTTTCTGCTGCCTCTCATGTCTGCTCAAAATAAAATTCTCAGTCCATTTCAAATGCTTCTGTTAACCTTCATGCGTCTGAGATTGGATCTGCCCTCACAACACCTTGCTTATCTCTTCCGTGTTTCACCAAAGACAGTGTACAGAACATTCAATGAAATGCTGTCATTTTTATATGCAAATCTGAAGCGTGCAATTGTGTGGCCAGATAGAGACACCTTGCACAAAATTATGCCTCATCCGTTTGTGGAGGCCTTTGGACATAGAGTCACAGTGATTATTGACTGTTTTTAAATTTTCACAGAGAAACCAGCTAATAAATGAATGCCAGATCAAGTACTGTTTCAACTTTATTCTTCTTTTTTTATTCTTCTTTTCACACAAATAGAATTTTGCTTTTTTTAAAGTTACTTTTGAAAAATACCAGCAAAACAAATATAAGTTTCACCATCACTTCAAATATTAACAATGTTTTCTGAAGTTGTAATAATGTGTGTACAATAAAGAGTGGATTTGAAATTTGAAACAAGTGTTGTTATTATCTTTTCAATCAAGCAGAGAATTTATGAAAATGCAATACAAAATCTCAAATACATAAATAATGCAGAACAGTGCAAAGCTTCAAATGTTTTACTTTGTCTTCCTCCCTCGTATATAGCAGATTGCTCTTTAGATTAAATTAGACGATTTAAATTTTCCCTGGACTTGTTTTCACTGTGGTCTGTGGTCTTCCGTAGAGATATTACCTAACAGGTGATATCTGTGAAGAAGACTGCAGATCCCAGTGAAAACAGGCCTGGATTAAGTGAACAGCAAATACAGTGTGCAACTTATCAATGTGCAAAAAATTATGACAAGTTCAGTCTGATGAGCAGCACAAACTGCTAACTGCAGCTATCTGTGCAACTGCCCACAACATCTGCCTTGTCACTGTAATAATAATATATAATATCGTTCCCTAGCAGCTTTAGAAAGTTTGTCTGGGTAGGGTATCCGTTCAGTTTTCTTGTTCTTTTCTGATAATCCTCACTGCTGGCAGCGCTCTCCTCTTGTTTTCTGCTGTTTTGTTTTTCTTCCGCTCACCACAAAAATGGCGCTAGGGGGCGTGTCAGTCACGTGTCTGACAAAGACCGATTCTAGTCAGAATATGAGTCTGATACTGCTCCATAGAGCTGTGATTATGGGGCGTGTTTTGAACGAACCAGGAAAAAAAAATGCCTCTGCACTCAATTGGATAGACCTACAACCAATAAGAGCAACGGAGTGCGTGACGTATCTTAAGCGAGGAATAGTTGTTGTCCACAAAAATCAAAGCGTGCAGTTTCACGCCTAGAATAAGAAGATGAGACTTGATCGCGTTTCTCTGTTCCTCTTTTAAAATTTATTTGCTGTCGATATCTTCTAGAACAGACCTAATAGCAGAATCTACTCACCCAAACTCTCCAGCGGCAGCCATTATTGTTGTCACCCAAGCGCGCTTTGGTCACGTGGTTGATTACGTTACTCTTGATCATCTGTCCATCATCGTATAAAGCCCGCCCTGACAATTTGATTGGATCGCCTGACAGTGGGCTTTAATACTCGCGCTACTATGGAGCAGAGCCAGACCGAACTTCCCCGAACTCAAACCTTGTGGGCGGGACTAAGTTCGGACTGGCACCCAGGCTAGAAATCCTTATTTCTACTTTGTAATAATGTAGCCTGTACTTCCACAGAAACTACCCTTGATCAATGCTTCTTACCTTTCCAAACAAGGACCTGCTCTGATTATGTAGTCATGTTCAGGACCAACTGCCCCCACCCCACCCAAGTGGCATTAAACATTTTAAAGTATTCACTCCTCTAGAGGTTTTTAATCTCACCTTAGGCTTCTCACTTTATTTCCCAGTTAATCAGTTAACTAGAATAAATAATTTGTTCATAAGCCATCACCTCCTTACCTTTGTAACGAGGAGCTGTAAAAGCTGCATTGATTAGAGTCTCTAAATCACCAGTCTGATTTGCAATCTGAAGTAGTTCCAGAATAGTGTCATTTCTGCCATTTTTCAGATTCAGTAGGGCCTTTATGAGAGCCGTTTTTCCTGTTGCTGCATCTGAAATATAAAAAATGCATAGCTTTCTTATCAAAACAGTGCTGTAAACTTGTAACAAAAAAGGGAATTCCAGCCATGCATCCAATGACAAACTAAACCATTGGGCAGTAGCATGCAAACTGTTAAATCGCACAGCGGCGTTTTTAAAAATGCATCACTTCAACAACAGTTCAACCAGAAGTCCATTACACAAAACCAAGATAAAGGATTAAGTCTTGAATTTTCCTGGATAATATGGCCTACTTGGCTTTACAAAAGCAGCAATGGAAGTTACCACAGTTACAGTATTCTGTGTGGCTAGTCTACACTTGACCAGACTCATTTAATCCTGGTGCAGCATAATTTTCAGACAGGGTTGCACTGATCCCAAAAATAATTATTCCAACATTTTCTTTTCTGAAAAAACACACAAAATCATACTGATTGATGGCAAGTTAAATTTCATGAAGTACCGGGTTTTATTTTATTTTTTACTTAAAAAGCAAAAACTTAAAGCACTTACCGGTAACCACAAAGAGTCTGAATGCTGATTTTACCCCATTAGCCTCTGCTGTTCATTTTTAGTCACCTTCAATTAGAGCATCTTTGGTTGGAAGGGGTAAGGGAATGTACATTTTAGGCATTTAGTCCATCAGTTTTTATGTTTGTTTTAAAAGTGCAGACCTGCTTGATTATTTACACTTGGGTTGAGATAATCACACTTGTAGAGCTTTGACTGCCTTTTGTGGAATGGATTAAATCAGGATGTACTACTCACACTCTCTTGCTTAATCACTTATACTATAATTTCTAAATAGGAAATAACATATTGAAATAAAATGTTTTTGACTCTACTTGCCTGTAAATTCTGGGCTTGAAAGCAGTTTATTTTCTTTTTTCAGGAAAGTAAGTAGCTGAGGGGGCAGTTTTTGGTGCCAATAAACTGCTTGAAAGACCTCGTTCCTCATGGCATCTATGGTGTTATGATTCCTGTTGCAAAACATTAGAAACATACTGTAATACCCACAAATCTCAACACTCAGGGACAAAAAAAAAAAAAAAAAAAAAAAACAATCACCAAGAAACAAGAGGAAAAACAAAAGTGTAACTGCATTTTTTTAAATGAAAAGAAAAAGTTGTTAAATGCAAAACTTAAGCTTATTACTTACTTTAAACTCATGGCCACAAGAGGTGATTATAAAAATAAACTGAAGTCTGTGCTAATATCAGCTCCCCCGTAGCTATCATCCACCTTTTCACAAAAGCAAAATTCAGACATCCCAGCATAAGAGATAAAGAGCAAGCTAGGCCCAGCAGGTGCAGGCACCTACAGCCAGGTGTAAGTAATCAAGGTATGCAGGTCTCCAGTTTTCTTAAAGAGAAAAGGAGGTCCATCACAGCTTCATTGATCTAGCAATCAAAAGGAGTGACTAAGTACATATATTTGCCAAAAAATACACATTTCCTGATCAATTCTTTTAACTAAAAACTAGTGATGGGTTAATCAGGCATCATGAAACGTTTCGATACATTGGCAAACTATTGATAATGTTTCACTACTTTGTAACTGAATACTGACACCTGCTGGGAATTAAAAATGACTGCAGGCAGCCTCTTTGACAGGCTAAACCAGAGGTCCGGATCCAGACCCACCTGCTGCCTAATCTGCACCCAACCTGATTTAAAACATTAAGAAATTACCGCATGTTGTCTGACGACAGTGTCTAACTTCACTTGCGCCGCTTCTCCAGTTAGTATTGTAAAGCCCTCAACAGCATCCGGGACCAGGCTACACGTCAAAAAAAAGATCCAGTGAGCTGCTGTCAGTCTGGGTAGCTGCTGTCAGTCTGGGTTGGTGATGGGAAAGAAGGAGAAGGTGATGAGAAAAAGAGAGCAGAGAAAGTGTGGACTGCCGGAAGAACTGCGGTGAACTGGTGACAGAAAAGTGAAATGGTGCTCAAAGATGACCCTGCACATTTAGAGTATGTTTGGCTCAACCTGCTGCTGTGAAGCAGGATTCTCCACCATGAACAGAATCAAAAATAAATATGGATCCAGGCTCAAAATGAGCTCCTTGACATGTGCTTTAGAATGGCTTAGTCTCCATTCAAACCCAGATTTAAAGCCTTGCAGGACAGCCTAAAGCCCACTGCTCTCATTAAGTCATTAAAAAAGAAAGAAAATAACAATCAGTTCAGGTGTTTTATAAAATATGTGAATCAGGAAATTGTCTATATATCAAACTGAATGTTCGTTTTTCTCTACTTCAAAAAACACTTTAGATTTTAAAAGGGATACATTTTCTATTTTTTTCATATTTTTTCCTTTTTAAAAATTCAGTGAATAACATGGATGCATAAAATCCTGCTTTTTATTTCAGTGTTAAGTTCTGTTTAAAGGAACTGTTTTAATTATAATTAAAACTGTCTCCGGACCTTTACTAGTTGATGATTTTCTTTATTCGGACCCCGCTGATTTTTAATTGGTTACCCCCTGGGCTAAACTGACATGGATTTGATGACCTATAATATTTAAGCCACTGTTTCCTACAATTCATTTTTTCATATCTTCGTTTAAATAGAAAATATGGTTGATATTTTTAGAGCCAATCCATAAACATAACAGGAATCTGTAAATATGACGTATGACCAGAATTTATTTATTTAAAATAATAAGAATAGCAAACTAAGGTTCAATTTGAAATCAGTTTGAATTGACTTGCTTATAAAAACATTTTAATGAGTCATACAGTTCGAAACAGCTCCTCTAGTGACGCAGGTTTTGCTGTTAGAGCTTAACACCTGTAGTGCATCTGCGTTGCTGGACCCACCACCAGGCTCTGACTTTTAATCTGTGATTCCGGGCATTTGCCCAGAGGGCCAGTGCTAATTTCAGCATGCAAAGGCCGGCCCTCCTTAGATCGTACCGGCCCCTCTCCGACCGAAGCTCCTACCTATGACAGTAAATAACTCAAGGAGCTCAAGTAGTAATCCAATGTTAACTACCTAAATGATGCATCCAGTATATATAGCCCTTCCTTGTCATGCACGTCCTTATGATGGTTGGCATATGGTGTAATTTTCTATTTCTTTAAACTGTAAAATTCTTGCAACAAACTAAATCCTTTCTTTAAACCAAACTACGATGTTCCTCTTATATTTGGTGAATTTATGTTCGAATATTTCGCAAAAATATGTTGCGGTGCCTGATGGGGTTTTACATCTACAGGCTAACATTTCCTGTCTTACATGCATTGTTGGCTGGCTTTGTGCAAGTGTAGATGTTACGCAGCAGCAGTCACTGTTGCATCCGTGTTAATAACCAAAGCCAGTATAACCGTCTTATAGAAAGTCTTGGTGATGGTTGTTGTGTGATGCTTGAAGATAGATCAGTTAATCCTAAGTGTGTATTTGTATCGTGTTTCACATTTGAGATGCACCATTTGACTGTGCTT